CGGGCCCGAAGAGACAGTCGGAGCAGTCAGTGAACCTGAAACCTCTTTACGATGCGGCTGGTGTCTTCCGTGAGAACGCAGCCCGGTTTCATGCCTGGGATCAGGTCTGGTACAGTGCTGTGTATGGGTCTGGGGGATTTGAGAGCAATGTCATGGGAATCAAGCGTACTTCCCACAACACCCGAATGGCTAACTTTGAAACTCGTCTTCTGGATTTGGCGGAAGATGGAGGCGTAAGTATTGCGTTTTCTGATTTATCTGTGACCTCTTCTGCTGCCATATAAGGTCGAAAGCTCTGGCTAACAATCGTGGCAAAACAGCTCCCCAACCGTACGCAGTTCAAACATGTGGTTTTTGCACCACAGGCCTGGTCGGGCTACGATCAGGCGTATTTCCCTGCCATCCGGGATGCTATAGATTCGGGAAATTGGACAGAAACACAGAGATGGATCGACCGGGTTGCTGACATCCTGACCACAGCCAGCATTGAACTAAACGCTTAAGTAGTTCTTCCTCACGCCTTCGACATTCGTTACCGAGACTCCCTCCTACATCTTCTGTATACATTCCGACTTCCTTTCTTCTCTTCTGTACAGGTCGCATATTCTTCTGTCTGCATACTTTCTGTTCCACTCGGAGGTTCATTGACTTTTTCTTCTCATGCAACTTGTATTTTTTGTCCCCGCCTTTTATTTTACGCGGTGTGTTCTTCGTTCCTCTTTCCTGCATGATTTTCATTTGCTTCATAATACTGGGTTTAGGGATAGAGACTTCACAGAAGGCGAAGCCGGAAGCGGCTTGTGTATTTTTTTTTTCTGTTAATCGTCTGAAAGCTGTCAATCCAAGAAATATTGAAGACGATACCTTGTGTGTATCAGCACTGTCATCGATATCCAGCACGAGTTCTGCGCTATAAATGTGTCGACTCTGTTGTATTAGGTAGATTATTTGTTCTGCTTTGCCGCTATAGTTGGATCAGTCTTCAGTATAGCCATGAAACCACATCCGACTAATCCACAGTTCTCTCAAGCAGGCCTTTTTCCCTATTGATGGCGTAAAATCAGGATCTTATTAGTATTAGAAATTGCAAAAAGGATTGAGATGGAGCCTGTTCAGATACTTCGAAGTTCGTACAGGCTTCTGGTACGATCTACAAGCTTCTTCCCGGCAGAATTAATAATTCTGCCGCTCTTTGCCGCCGCCTGTGGATACCGCCTTCCCAAAACGTTAGATTAGTCAGCCAGGTGGCCTTCGACCCAGCCTCGCCATTCAAAGGCAATCCTCGTTTCGTGAGACTCGAGCCCTTCGACATCTCCCTCCTTTCCATGGAGCAGCTCAGCGAGACATGCATCTGAGATGTTTAAATATCCCATCAGGCCTCGCTGAGTTCATGCGCGGCACTGCCCCTCTGCTTCATCGCTGTTGAGGCCGTGGCGCCGCCTGGCACGTCGTTCTGATCACTGCAGCCTGACATTTGCCACTCCCTTCTGTCGAGGTTTTCGAGCACCTTTTTGCCCGCGAGGACTTAGAGAAGCGACAGGTTTTTCACGATCCATATTGATCAACTCGACGCTGCAACCATGGCGACCGCAACTCCTGGAGTGAGGGAAGGGCCCTCGACGTGGAGGAAGAACCTCTCGGCCCATCTCATCTGCCCTGAATGCAAGGAGGTTCCCCCGAACCTCGAGTTTCCCGACTCCCACGAGACTGTCTGCGGCTCGTGTGGGTTGGTGCTCTCAGATCGCGAGATCGATATGCACTCCGAATGGCGTACCTTCTCGAATGATGATCAGAACAATGATGACCCGTCTCGTGTCGGTGACGCCGCGAACCCTCTCTTGAATGGCAACCAGCTCGAGACGCAGATCGCCGCGGGTGCCACAGGCAAGGCTCGCGAATTATACCGTGCCCAGAACAAGCAGTCGAGTGAAAAGACGAACAAGTCGCTTCTCGCGGCGTACAAGGAGATCGGAGCGCTGTGCGATGGCTTTAACATTCAGAAGAATGTGGCCGATACAGCGAAGTATCTCTTCAAGATCGTTGACGACGCGAAGGCGTTCAAAGGCAAATCTCAGGATGTGATCATTGCTGGATGCATCTTCATCGCTTGCCGCCAGTGCAAAGTGCCTCGAACGTTTACTGAGATCTTCGCGGTGACCAAGGTCACGCGCAAAGAGATTGGTAGGATCTACAAGGCGCTGGAGAAGTTCTTCACCGCCCAGAATCTGGAGAGAATTAATAACGTTGTGCAGAATGGAGGTAAGTATTCAAGACTGCAGATGTTCATCTTTTCATTTGCGGGCATGTATTAAACATGGCTTTCTCATCTGTAAAGGTGTTCCGGACCCGAACGAGACGTACACGGCGACCACCTCTACAAAGCCGAGCGATCTGTGCAGTCGGTTTTGCAACCTGCTGGATCTGCCGTACCAGGTCACCAACGTCTCGATGGCGCTTTCGGATCGCGTCACCACCATGGGCGATCTTGCTGGCCGATCTCCGTTGTCGATCGTGGCTGCGTGCATCTACATGGCGTCCTATTTGATGGGACACGGCAAGACGGCCAAGGAGATTTCCCAGGTGGCGCACGTCAGCGATGGCACCATCCGTGGCGCATACAAGCAACTCTACGCTGAGAGAGAGCGTTTGATCGATCCGAACTGGATCAAGGATGGGAAAGGCGACATGGCCAACCTGCCTGCTAGTTGAACGATAGTAAACCTTCGCACGTAACAGAAATGGTTGCTACAGCACCAGCACTTGGAATCGTTTTTTCATGAAGCAAGCTGGCTGTCCGTACTCTGCCTATTGAGGGGGAAAACACACAGTCCCATGTGTTTCATCTGATAGAAGCTGCTTTATTACCTGCTACCTCCGAGAATACTGGCATCTTATCCCATCCAGTCTGCAGTCTGTCTGTTCTTTGAGTTTTCTTCCCTGTTTGATTTTAACGCCCAAACAAATCAGCTACAAAAAAGTGGAAATCGGCATCACTGAGGTTCGGCTGGGGTGGTTGATGCTATTTTCTCGTGATGAGAAGTCGCGAGAATGTACAGTATTTATTTTATTCTAGCTTCTCCTATCTTCATAGATTGTGGACAGGAATGGGAGAAGTACAATGAAAAGGAATTGAATTGAAATAGAAAGTGAACTCAGTAAAATCATAATTAATTGTGCTTGATGAGCATCGTATTTCACCTCGGCCGTTGTATAACTAGTTAACGTAATCAACCACCGAGCGACGAATACCACCGAGCGACGAATTTTCCTCCACCCTACCACTTCCTTTTTTCAACGCGTCATTTTATCACCACCACTATCAAAAATGCCTTTATCTCAAGAAAACCGAATTCAAATGGCTATTGCAGCTTATAAAAATCAAAAAGTCAAATCAATACTGAAGGCTGCAGAGATTTTTGGGGTGCCTGAGGCTACCCTTCGCGCTCGCCTTAAAGGAAGACAACCACGCGCAGAAACACGTGCTAATGGCCATAGATTAAAGG